GCCCAACATTTTTGTTGCTAAGTGAGACATTTGTTAAGTGAGTTTTGCCCCATTTTAAATCTTTCTTGCCACAGTTGTTAAGTGAATCACTGCAGTTGTTGAGTTAGTAACACAGTTGCTAAGTGGCTTCCCCATTGACTTTGCTTGTCAGAAGGTCGCAAAGATGATCACATGACCCTGGGACACTGCAACCGTCATAAATATGAGTCAATTGCCAAGCATCTGAATTTTGATCACATGACCATGGGGATGCGACAATGGTTGTGAGTGTGAAATGGTCATGAGTAATTTTTTTCAGTGCTGTTGTAACTTTGAACAGTCACTAAATGAACAAATAAATTGTTGTAAATCAAGGACTACCTGTACAAAATGAAACACATAGCAGCTGGGCATCTTCCAAACAATTATCCCATCCGACCCATGCTGGCAGAGGAGACATGCTGCAGACCCTGTCAATCAAGGAATTCTGGCTGGTGGAGTCCAGGAGGAGTAACTTTTCTACTGTGGTTCCTGCCTTTTGGAACATCACCCCCCCAGGTGAGAACTGCACTCACCTTACTGACCTTCCATAAGGGCCTGAAGACCTGTGGGGTGAACCATTTTGGAGATGGCTATTGCATTAAGAAGACATTCCACCTCTCCCAGTGTACTTCTTGCTCCCCTCCTCTTCATCTTTTAATTGTATTTATTATTCTTATTTCTTTTTTTAAAATATGTTTTATTGATTTTTAACATAATCACCTTAATATTTGGTAAACAGCATGTTGTCTGGGTTAGTATTTAAAAAACAGTCAATAACAATTAGTTTTTATAATTCTATAGTCCACATAGTAGCTTTGCTTGATTTTCTCTTCTTCCAATAATATTCTCTTTTGCCAGCCTTGAATTAATACAGTTCTTATTATTTGAATAAATGACAATTAAATATAGACATTTTTCTCATGTTTCTGCAAATAATAACCACATCAATATAAAGCTTCTTTTCATTGATCATCTTGATTGCCTCGTCATAGATCCTGTTTACAAAATTCTTATTTAAATTTGTTTTTCCCACAATATTCAAAGCCTTCTTACTGGTTAAGATTTTCTCAAAATTAGTTACACTTAAGTATTTAAGTCTTTTTTCTCATACAAGCCATTACATTTTTACATTTCTCATATCTTAAAGAAAAAGAAGGGAAAAAAACATAGAAAACATTTCTTTTATACAAGCCATCCCAACATTTTTATATTTTTCATGTCAAAAAACCAAACACAAAGGAAAAAAGAAAGAAAACATACTATGTTACTTGAGGAGTTCATCCCTCTTAAACTAATCTTCATTTATATTCAAAATCTTTCTATTTCTTTAATCATATTCAAACAGATGTTTAATTTTTAACTAGTCCCTCTGGTAAATCCCATCATTTAATTTCTTAATTCTCACTTTAGCCTTTTTTTTTCAAACATCTTTCCTGATCAATATGCTTCGCTGAATCAAAGAATCTTCCCATAATCTTGTAAATGTTGTTGCAGGTACAAAAGGCAAAACAGTTAAGATGTTTTTATAGAAAGGTTTCGCCCCTTCGTATTCATTGAGAATCTTTTCTTTCATTCTTGATTTCATTTATCATTTTTTGTCTCTCAAGTTCTCGTAGTTCTCCTGGCAAAATCCATTTTGTCAAATCTTTTTTCTTGTCCTCAAACTTATTTTGTAACCTTAGAGTATATGTTGTCTTTTCCATGTCCAGAATTTCCTGTGGGTTTTTTTCCATCTGGGTTAAGTCAAACTTCTTTGTATTATTAAATTCCATCTGTTTGGATTAGTTGCAACATAGCATAGATCTCCTTTTGGAAAGTATTTGTTTTTTCTTGGTATATTCTTTCTGCAGTTCTCAGGTTTTCCATGATAGCCAAAAATCAGGGTTTTCCTGATTTCCTGAAATTGAATAAATACCATAAATAAATAAAAATAGCAGTAGCAATAGCACTTAGACTTATATACCATTTCATGATACTTTACAGCAGTCTCTAAGTGGTTTACAAATGGTCAGCATTTTATCCCCAACAATCTGGTTCCTTATTTTACTGACCTCAGATGAATGGAACGCTGAGTCAGCCTTGAGCCGGTGAAAATTGAACTGCTGGCACTTGGCAGAATTAGCCTGCAATACTGCATTCTAACCACTGCGCCACCAAAATGGAATCATGTGACTGGAAAACGGGGTGGGGTGGGGCAGCTGTCAGAACTTCGAACTTATGTCATAAGTAGCCCTAGGAAGGGAGGTCCACCATAACTTTGAATTGTCTTTAAGTGATTGATTGTAAGTCAAGGGCTACCTGAAACACAATGAATAAACCTCAGGAATGGTATATCCCTGACATTCATATAGTCCCAGTCCTGTTTTCTTTTTGCAAAGTGTTAAAGACTTTGGGTCTGGATGTTAGATGAGCCCATGCTATATGGTGTTTATATTTTTATTTATGAAATTTATAGACTGCCCATCTTACTCTCAAGAGCGTTTGTATTTCTTTTTGCTGGTCTAGAGCACAATTTATTTTTATGCTCCTTTTTGCTGTTTATTTATGGTAGGTTTTTTTTTAAATCTTACAATAAGCATTATAAGTGCAAGTTGTATAAGTTGATGAATAAATAAATACATTATTTTTTTCTGGCTCTGAAGAATAACATCAGAAGTGTTGAACTGGTTTTGTTTTGTTTTTGTGTTGTTTTTTTAAACTGTGATTACTGGTTTCAATGAAAGAGAGGGAGATTTGGGGACAGAGGCCAAGAGGGCTGACCAAATAGAAAAAAGCATGGAGAATATATCAGATAAATATCCCCATATTACCACAAATATCTTGATTTTTTTCCTCAGCAGCAATTTTGGAGCTGTAGGATGAGAGGCAGTTGCAGTATAGAGCAGTTAAGAGACCCAAGAGGAGATACCTCATGTGTGAATCAATTCTTTGGTGGCCATTGAATATACGTTATGGTTCAATATGATACAACTGACAGGATAGCAATAGCAACAGCATTTAGACCTATATACCATCCCACAGTGCTTTACAGGACTCTCTGGGTGGTTTACAATGTCAGCATTATTTGCATATTGTCCCCCAACAGTCTGGGTCTTCATTACTTACCTTCATTACTTACCTCAGAAGGATGGAAGGCTAAGTCAACCTTGAGCCCTGTCAGAATCGACCTCCTGGTTGTTCGATTAACCACTGTGCCACCCTGGCATAGTTGGATAGTGATACCAACTGTGTCATGGTATGTTCTTACAGGGGTAGGATTTCTTTTTTTGGGACTGTGTTCAGATAAAAACTGAAGAAAACACATTCAGCTTGGTCTGTGTGAATCTTTGTGACTTAGGAAGTGGTGCAAACTCCACCCATTTGTTCCATTTTGTGAGTGAATGCGTGAACCCAGAAAAAATGAGAGAATTAATTAAGGTGCTGGTCTAGAAACTAGGAGACTATGAGTTCTAGTCCCATTTTAGGCATGGACTCCAGCTGGGTGTCTTTGGGCCAGTCAGAGCAATCCATCCCACAGGGTTATTATTGTGGTGAAAATAGGAGAAAGGAGTATTAGATAGGTTCACCTCTTGAGATATCTATAAAAGTAATAAAGCTGGGATAAAATCTAATAAATAAATAAATTCAGTAACCAAATTCAGAAAGTTGATTGAATGCAGTCACTCTCTAGTTGTCTTTGGATATATTTTTCAATACTGTATTTAGTTTGCTGTAGTGCTTACATTAGTTTCTTGTACTTCCTAGCTTAAAATCATAGCAGTAGCATTTGGGGCTTATATACCCCTTAGTGCTTTACAGCACTCTCTGGGCAGCTTACAAGGTAGAAGCATTATTTGCATGTTGCCCCCAATCATTTTGGTCCTCATTTTACTGACCTCGGAAGGATGCAAGGCTGAGTCAAGGGTTAACAAGAACAGTTTTTGACAATCAGAGGGATCTATGCAGGAAGGGGCTCTGGGGATGCCAACCCTTGCCTTAATCACTGAGTAGGTGGTAGCTGATAAATTGGAGTTATTTCTCATTTTTGCATAAGCTTAGGCTTGCTTTCAGTTGAAGTGGTATATGAATTGCTGCTATTGCTTCCTTTCCTCTTTCCCTCTTAGCAGATAAATAATTTTCAGTCACTGCATTTGACTTAGTTTCACATTTTTATTCTGTTTTCAACATTCTATTATAGTCTTTCAGTGGATAAATAACTTCTAAAGAAGATTGCATGCAGTCCAGGTACTTACATTTAGAATGTTTTAGATAGAGCTAGTAATTCTTTCACAGTGTGCAGTCCTGTGTAAGTCTTACTGAGGACAACACACAAAGACTTATTCCGAGGTAGAGTAACACAGTTTGCTCTTGGGCAATTGCTGGAATAATATTTTTTTAAGTAAACCATTTTAACAAGGGCTAATCTTTTTATAATGTCTAGCAGTTTATTACCAAGCAACCTGAATACTGCAACAGTAATGTAATAAATATGATATTTTGTCAGGGATGTCTTTCGATGAGGGAAAAAAATCCACAAATGTTTGCAGAAGTAACATTTGTTTGTTTAAAGCCTTGTAGTTTAGCTAGTAAGGCGGATTATAGATCAATAAAATGAGAGAACCCCAGCTTGACAATATAGTATAAAAAGATATTGCATGCAAGGAAAAAGGGAATGTGGCAGAAGAAAAAAAAAAACAACCACCACCAAATATTCATATAGCAATTTAAGGTTCTTGTACTGCTTAGCTTGCTGGGGTGGCTGTTGGAAGATGATTTGAAGAGCAGTAAATCTTCTCAGGAGGGCTGACATTAGACAACTTTCTCTCCTTCTCAGAAAGATAAGGTAATGCTAAAGGGGGTTGGAGTCATGAGCATCTTCCAAATATGGGAAGAAATTCTAATGTTTATCTTTCTGTCTGGACTGAATGCTCTGTCCCTCCCCACTCTCCCACCCTCCCTGTGGCATCAGGTGTCATCCAAGCCCCTTTGTCTCCTGCCAGGGACCAGGACTCGCCCTACGAGATCATGCAGCTGGACTTTGAAATGGAGAACTTTACCAGCCAATCAGTGACTCGACGCATCATGTGGCATATAGACTATCGGGGTCGTAACCCACCGCCCGATTTGGAGAAGGCTGTGACTGAACTGACAGTAATTCAGAGGGATATCTGTGCCATCCTTGCCCTGGCCATGGTGAGCTTCTATCTTAGAAGCAAGCTAGAAGATAGTTTAGTTCTCTGTTTGGCTATTATCTTAGACCTGAAATATGCATTCAAATGCTTGATCTAATTCCTCTAACTTCATTATATGGGACTATGGGACTCTTAGTTTAGTAGAGATACCCATATATTGGGTGATACGAATTAAAATTGATACTGACTTTAAACATGCTACGTAATCTTTGCTTCATCATTTTGATACAGAGAAATAACTAAATCATGTCTTAGTATGATGAATGAATCGAGGCAGTTATGCTTTAGTTTCCTTAACCAAAGTTGGTTGAAAAAACACAATTAGTTGGATCCAACCATTTCACTCAGCCATAAATTACACTTTACAATACAAAGCATATTAGTTGGCTTCATACAACATGCTAACTCTAAATTAAAGTTTACTTAATTGCTTAGTCTGGTATGAATCTCTTCTTAAAATCAGTGATATAAGAGTTTTGTCTGGCTTTTGGGGGGGGGGTTGTTAAACACATATGCTTTGCTATTATGTTTGCATATATTAATGTTAATATGTGGAAAAAATAGGAAGATGGAGGAGTATTAAATATGTTTGCAGCCTTGAGTTATTTATAAAAATAATAAAGGCAAGATAAAATTAATTAATTAATTAAACAAACAAACAAACGGACGGACGGATGGACGAACTTATACCTCCCCAGTTGCCAATATCAGAACAACTTAATGTACACTCTGTTAGGAAAGCAGTGAAAACAAGTTTTTGTGTATGTATTTTTATGTTCTCAAGTTTACTACCCTAAATATTTGAGAATAACTCTCAAGAATTTATGCCATTAAATACCATTTCCTAGAGGAATCTAGCCCAAACTGGTGCCCTGCAGTGCTGATTTTCTAATCCCATAATCCCTAACTGCATGGCTAGTAGCTACCACAGCTGTAGAACACCAAGTTGGGAAGAATTCCCTGGGCTCAAGCATCCATGCAAAGGTTAACAGCATCTCAAACAGACCTTCCTGGATATCCTGTAAAAATGAGCTCACGAGGAGAAGATGGTGGGACCACATTCCACTCAATAAAACATGGCCTCCTTTATCATCCTTAAGGATACAGAAATCATCAACACAGCCATCCTCACAGGACGGACAGTTGCCATCCCTGTGAAGATCATCGCCATAGAGATGACAGGAGTTATCTTGGATATTTCAGCAATGGCCAAATGCAAGTCCAGCAATGAGGACATCATCAAGGTGGGTGAAGGGGCTGATACATGGGAGGAAAATACAAATCTAAAATGAGCTAAAATGGCGTTGAGCATGAATCACTGTCTTACAATGTCTTAGCTAGTTGTGTGCACCAAGCCATCATAATAGTTCATAATAAGATTTATTTCCTTGATGCAGCATGTTATATTTTGTTAACCCAGAATGCAGTGTTGCTACTTTGGGGTCAAGTTTTTTGTTTCTGATACTGGACAGCCAAACACATCTGCTGATTTGGCAGTGGTAGTTGCAATTGTTCTAAATATTTCTTTTCAGTGTTAGATAGACTGCCTCTGAACATGGAATTCTTTTACAATCATCATGACACTTTTGTTTCTTTTTAAAGCTATCTGGTTTATATTTCATCAGCATTATACACTATGTGAAGAAGTGACATAGTGTATAATGCTGTTATTCATAAATGATTTAGATGAGGGAATAGAAGGGAAACTCAGCAAATTTGCACACGATACTAAACTGGCAGAAATAGCCAACACCCCAAAAGATAGGCTCAAGAGCCAGATGGATCTTGACAGACTTGAACACTGGGCCGTATCTAACAAAATGACATTCAATGTAGAGAAAAATAAGGTTTTACACTTGGGCAAGGAATACCAAATGTATAGGTATAGATTAGGTGAAACCTGGCTCGGTAGCAGTAACTGTGAAAGGGATCATGGAGTCCTAGTAGACAATCACTTAAATATGAGCCAGCAGTGTGTGGCAACAACCAAAAAAGCCAATGCAATCCTATGTTGCATTAACAGAGGGATATATTCAAGATCACATGAAGTATTAGTGCCACTTTATAAAATCTTAGTAAGACCACTGTATCCAGTTTTGGTCACCATATTACAAAAAATATTATAAAAAAGATGTTGAGACTTTGGAAAGAGTTCAGAAAAGAGCAACAAAAATGATTAGGGGGCTGGAGGAATTGGGTATGTCTAATCTGGAGAAAAGAAGGGGTAGGGGTGACATACTAGCAGTGTTCCATTAATTGAGGGGCTACCACAAAAAAGAAGGGACAATCTATTTTCCAAAGTACCAGAAGGCAAGACAAGAAACAATGGATGAAAACTAATCAAGGAGAGAAGCAACCTAGAACTAAGGAGAAATTTCCTAACAGTGAAAACAACTAGTGGAACGACTTGCCTCCAGAAGTTGTGGGTGCTCCATTACTCGAAGCTTTTAAGAAGGGATTGCACAGTCACTTATCTGGAATGGTATAGGCTCTCCTGCTTGAGCAGGGGGCTGGACTAGAAGGTCTCTAAAGTCCTTTCTAACTCTGTTATTTTGTTAAGTCCTTCCTTTTACAGGTAGTCCTTGACTTACAACCATTCATTTAGCAACTGTTCAAACCTACAATAGCACTAAAAAAAGGGACTTATGACCATTCCTTGCACTTATAACTGTTTCAGCATCCCTACAGTCACGTGATCAAAATTCAGGTGCTTGGTAACCAGCATGTACTTAAAACAGCTGCAGCATCCCAGGGTCACATCATCACCATTTGTGACCTCAACAGGCTGCCGACAAAATCAATGGGAGAAGCTGAATTCATTTATCGAACATGCGATTCACTTAACAATTGCAGTACACTTAACAACCCTGGCAAAAATGGTCATAAAATTGGGTGCGATTCACTTAATAATTGTCTTGCTTAGCCATGGAAATTCTGTTCCCAATTGTGGTCGTAGGTCAGGGACAATCTGTATCTAGCATGAATTTCAGGCTGGTTTGTTTCACTGAATGTGACTCCATTGTTCTATTCCTAGCAGAGAGGAAGAGAGAAGCTTTCCTTTATCTACAGCTTCTACATCTTACATGGTTTAATAATCTGTTGCAGAAGTAGGAAGTTCCTCATTTGCCAGATCCCTAAGACTTGCCCCCAAGGCCCTTCAAAATGAAAATAGAAATGGCAAAAATATATCAAAATCTTACATGAGAATGTCAAGATTTCGCAGTCTTGCAAAGGATATAATAATAGAATGTTTATTTATTTATTTATTTATTAATTGCATTTATATCCCGCCCTTCTCCTTTCGGACTCAGGGCGGCTGACAGATTAGATAAAATACTAACATATATACATATTATGCCTAATTAAAAATTTAATTAAAACGAGATATTTGAATATGTCCAATTAAAAGTAATTAAAACCCCTATAAAATCCCCTAGGCCAGTCCCGCTNGGATCACCCTGATCTCTGGGGGCAGTTCGTTCCAGAGGGTGGGAGCTCCCACAGAGAAGGCCCTCCCCCTTGGGGTCGCCAGCCGGCACTGCCTGGCCGACGGCACCCTGAGGAGACCCACTCTGTGAGAGCGTACAGGTCGGTGGGGGGTAATCTGTGGCAGGAGGCGGTCTCGAAGGTAACCAGGTCCGATGCCATGTAAGGTATCATCTAGTCCAATACCCTGTCCTGTATAGGAATCCAATACTACATCATCCCCAATACATGGATGTTTAAATGCTTCCAAGAAAAAAAGAATCCATTGCCTCCAGACTCTGGTCCTTTGTTAAGCAGTTCTTACAGTTAGGAATTTTTTTCCTGATGTCCATTGTGTCCATTGTGTGCAAGCACTAACCACTGTTTTTCCTGCTTTTTTTTTTTTAAAAAAAAATCAATTTCCTATCAATGTTCAAAATATCTCTATTGCTTATAATTTTCTCATAATATATTTGGGTAACCAAAATTTCCCTTATTCAAACCCTTTTAGAATTTTCATATTTCCCATCTCATACCAAAATATAATATTCTAGTTAGAAATCCTATCCTTCTAGTTATAATAATACTTTTATTTCTAACATTTATTTTCTTAACCATATTCAAACATCTGTTTAATAATATAATATCCTGTCTCTTATAGTTTTCTCATAGTAAATTATATTTGGGTAACCAAAATTTTTCCTTATTCAGACCCTCTTGGCATTTTCATATTTCCCCTTTCATACCAAAATATAGTATTCTAGTTGCATATCCTATCTTTCTAGTTATAGTAAAACTTTTATTTCTAATAATTATTTATTCTCTTAGCCATGTTCAAACATCTGTTTAATAATATAATGTCCCATCTAATGGGTCAAAACCTCTATTTTCTTCAGTCTTATTCTGGCTTTCTTCCTTTGCCAACTAACTTTCCAAGTCAATGCATTTGAGTCCTCCAATAGTTCTTTCCCTATTTTTGTGTATATTGTTTGAAGTAAGAAAGACAATTTGATTAAAGTATTTTTGGAAGAACACTCAGCCCATCTATGTTCATTAAACAGCCTCCCTCCTTCTCCAATTTTCCACAATGCTCCTGACAGCTTTATCTTCTGTTCAATCAGCTCTTCTTCCTTATCCTCAAATGTGTTCTGAGATCTTGACAAGTAAGATATCTTTTCCATTTCCGGTATTATCTCTGCATCTTCTAATTCTTCATTTGTCTGAGTCTGTCAATTCCTTCCTTTAAGTCCTCCATCTTTGGTTCTGCTGCCTCTAATTTTCCTTCTATTTTCTGGATTACTGGTTCCTTCTTTGTAGTCATTTTCTGAATTTGTAAGGTTAGATTAGAAAATTGTTCTTTTATCTCCTTTGAGTTATTTTTAGTTTCATCATGAGCTTAGACAATTGTCTCTTGTATTGATTTCAACATAGAAAGAATTTCTTTCTGAGATTCATCAACATTTTCTTGTTGATATGTGAAGCTGGGGGTTTTGGAGACAAATGTTAAAGATGGTTTTTTTACCATTTAAGACTAAGTGTGGAACTTCCATTTTGTTTTTGTATGTGGTCTTTATAGTCCAATCTATTTTGAGATTTAAAAAGTTTCAGTCAATTGTTATTTGAACTCCAAATTATCCAGCTAGTCTGTCAGTCCATCCTTAGGCCTCCCCCAAACAAATATCAGCAAAGTCCAAGTTTTTTCCTTCCATTGAAAAGCATATCCTTTTTTTCCAGTGAGAAAAGATAGAATTAAAAATTATTCATCAATCAAAAGTTTATAATCCAAAGTGTTCCATCATCTCGATCAGTCAAGCTTGTTTCTTCTACAGGGGAATAGTTCCATGACACAGCACTAAAAGTCAGTATTTATATTCATAATCCAAGCAGGCCAATTTCAAAATATTTTATTTTGATATTTATGCCACGCAGATAAGCAGCCCAAGAGTTTACTTTTTCCCCCTTCTCCAGCTGCAGTCTTCAAAAGTGAAAGTTTCCAAGGACACCCAAAGTCTGGGCTTCAGGCCAAATTTCCTTTAAGCATAATAAATTGTAGTGCCATGGTTCGCCACTAGATGTCGTTAACGCCTTCTTCCAGCTTCAAACTGATATTGCAAGCTTTTCAAGTCTCTTTTCTAAAAAAGTCTCAAAAGCCCTTTTAGTCCCCAAATTTCAAGGCTATATATTTATATTGATTCCAAATTAATCTTATAATTTTCTCCATTTTCCCCCAAGCTGTTAGTTCACTGCTTTTTTTTTCCTGAGGGAATGGGACAGAAATTCCCTTTCCCTCTCTCCTTGGGGAGGGTTCTTTGCTTTGGGCAGTTTTTTCCAGGAAAAATCTTAAAGTTAAAAAGAGAGGATAGAGTCTTATCCAGTTTCATCCACGTTGCTCAAAAGTTGCTCGTTAGTGCTTATTTCCTTTGGTTGTCATTAGCTTCTGACTGGCTACATTCCCCCGTCAGTTTGGAGGGCTTTCTCGGATCAAACGGAAGGGCCGCTGCCCCTCTGTGATCAACGAGGGTCCCCTCCTTCTTTGTCACCTCTCCAGGGTGACTTTTGACCCTTTTTAGGGTCCCCAGTGGGGCAAAATCAAACATGTCTTCCTGCCATGTCTTCCTGCATCTGTAACGCTGCGACATCAAACCGGAAGTCCTACCAGGGCACCTTTTTAAATGGTTCTTTTCAGCTTGAATAAACACTGCAGCCATTGCACACTTCCAGGTAAGCTGAGGGACACTTTGATGGGCTAACATGCTACTTTCCTGCTCATAAATTTGCC